TGTCTTGGGTTGGCGCATCTGGTTTACTGGCTCATCGCACCAATGTCTCCCGCTCGACCCGCTTCTCGGGCCTAGACCAGCTCCTGGCGGGCGGCGAGGTGCTCTGGCACGCGCCGCCCATGCGGCGGCCCATGCGACTCACCCCTCCTCGCGCTTAGCATGGCAAGTACTCGCGGAGGCTTGCGGCCCGGTCTATTGACTGCGCCGAGATCGAGCTCATCAGAGTACTAGGCGTCGAGCATCGCGAGCTGGGGGCGCGGAGTAGGGCGATCAAACCTTCGGGGGGTCGACATTCCACCGCCCAGAGGATCCAGATGATAAGCCCCAGGTTATCGCAGGTTGGAGATGGCTCGACCACTCTTTCGCCGAGTTTCTCACGCTGGTGCGCGCGCCCGAGCGGGGCGAGTTTCTGCGCCGGCAGATGCAGGTGTCTTTGCAGCATGCGCGCGGGTCTGGGCGTCCGCCTAGATGCGCGTCGTCGCGCGATGCGCGAGACCGCTCTAGCGCGGAGCGCAGATCGACCCGCGGAGCAGGCTCTGCGCGAGCGAGCGTCTCCGTTCCAAGAAGACATCCAGGCTGACTTTGACGAGGCCGCAGCGGTTGGGGATAAGGCGCCCCGGGGGTCTCGGGGTGAATGGTCCACGAAAGCACTTCAGGGACCGGCTCGTTCGATGCGCAGGTTTACTCGTATCCAAAAGGCTTGGTCACCGACTGTTTTGTTCAGAGCTCGCCTGGCATCTACTCCGCGGGCCCCGGCAGCCTCCTAATCTCCGAGACTCTGCAACTTGGGTGAGTTCTGGTATGCCACCTCAGAGCCGCCTCTAGCATGGGTTCCAACTGGTGATTGCTTTCGGCGAGTCCCAGCAGAGCGTAGATGGGTGTCGCAGTTTTTCAGTAGTGCGACCTCGCAGTCTCTGGATGGATGGATTCCACCCGCGCCACTTTGCCTTGCTGAGCGATCAAGGGCTGGAGGTCCTGGCGATGCTCTGCGAAGCCGTGGAGCGGACGGGTCTCTTTTCCAGCCCAGCTACTGCGGATGGTGATGCCTCTTCTGCTGAAGCTTAAAGGCGGCCTACGTCCGATCCAGTCGTTAGGCGCGCCCGTCCGCCTCTGGGGGGGCGCTCCGTCGGAGCCGCGCTGCTGTTTTTCCGGGTCGGGCTCGGCGGCCCCGCTAGGCTTTTTGGAGCGGTGCGAGCTCGGAAGCGGTTGCGCGGCAGCAAAGCGTGAAAGCGGAACGGGCTTCTCAGGGCAAGGCTATTGCAGGTTTCATCTGGGGCGGGATGGAGCAGTATGAGTCGTTTGTCTTGGCGCGGCCCCGCGATCGAGCCGCCTTCTGGAGGGCCCCATGCCTCTCGTCGAGACCCTCTGCGGTCTACGGCGCAAGCCGCGGCTGCTACGACTGGGCCCCCACTGCCCCCCATTGGTCTTCTACGCTGCCCCAGGGCCCCCAGCAGGCGGCATGCTCTACGATTTCTCTGTCGGGGCTGGTGCTGTTTCAGAGTTCGACCACTTTGCCCTCGGGATCCCCGGGCCCCCCTAGGTTCGCACGTCGACGACGCGGTGGCGGCGCATGGGGGAGGATGAGAGAGTAGCAGCGCTAACGAGGGCAGATTATGAAGTCAAGGATTTCTTCCAGCGGCGCTGAAGGCTCACCTCGCGGAGGACAAGCTGGTCGCGGTTGCTTCGACACCTGGCCTGGTTCGCTGGCTCGCGCGCCGGCTGCAAGCAGCTTGTCCTTCGGCGGCATCTAGCGCCGTTGTCTCGCTGGGCGCGGGCCTGGCCCCTGAACGGCCTCCTCCTCCTCCTCCTCGACTCGACTCGACTCGACGACTCGATGAAGGCATTGGTATCTCTGGAACGCTGCCACGTTCCTCCTCTCCTCCTCCATTTCCTCCTCGTCCTCCTCCTCCTCCTCCTCCTCCCTCGATCCTCCCTCCTCCCTCGATCGTCCCTTCTCTGCCCTCCTCCCTCGCGTCTTCCCCTCTTGAGGGAGCCAGGAGATCTGGCTCGGGGGGGTGGGTGCAAGCGGTGATTAGCGAAGCGACGCCAACGTCTAAAAACTACGCGTGCACGTCATCGCCCCCTGTCCCATTCTCGTCGTGAGCTCCCCCGTGATAGCTCCAGGATGTTGAACATGCATGTAGCAGGTGCGCGCCCCACAGCTGGTTGCGGGACCACGGTGCTCGGCCACTCCGACGCGGAGCTCCAGGCCAATCGGCGCACCCTGGTAGCTGGCCATAACCTTGCACATCGTGGAGCGTCGCTCACAGCGAAGTCAGTTCCCCACGGCGACTCAGTTTGAAAGCAGTCGGTAGCCCCAGCACTCCAATGGGCCTCTAGTATTTGGCTTTCGATTGCCCGGCCCAGTACGTCACCCTTTTCGTTTCGGGGGCGCGTCCAGATTTGGGGGGGCACGGCGGAGTCTCGGGGGCCCGATATCACCTCTGCAGGTTGGAAGTCCTCGCGAGGCCCCATGCACGGGATGCCACTTAGTCCACGTCGGATCGGTTGGAAAACTCAGGGGCTCACGCGCTGGCGCGACGTGCGGGGATGCGTCATTTGTTGTCGTGCACCTCCCCAGCCATGGCCAGTAATCTCCTGGGGGAAGGAGTCCAGAGATTCCATGAGCGTCGCATAGCGCAGGCCTTGCCACATTTCGATGCTGCTGGTGTGTCGCCAGATCCATTGCGACGCATGTTGAGAGCGAAGCGGATCGCG